AAGGATACCTACCCTGTCTGGTAAATCAGGACAAACACTGGGGCATTAAAGACCTCTGCAAGGATGAGGCAAAGATTGTTAGACCACGGCTTCAGTGATACTCAACATTTCCTGCATCACTGGAACAACATAGTGGGTTTTAGAGAAAGCTTTAAAGCAATTTGCACCCAATTTTATAACCTTTTTCAATATTAAAGTGTTATATGTAGTCCTTAACTGAGAATTAACTGCTTTGGAGTTAATAAAAGATTTGTCAATGACTCCACTATCTATGGAGAAATAACACTATTTGCTGTCAATCTGGAAGTTTTGGAGTGTCAATTTCCCAAGTCCTATGCCCAGACTTCAGTGAGGGAACAAATGCACATTGCAGGTTCAAAGTCAGTTTTCCCTTCCATAAAAAAGTGTACAACACTTCTTGCTCAACTTTGCCCTCTCTGTAAGAATATTTCTGTCTTTGGAGAAAGCGGTTTGGTAATTCTTCTGCCTACTACAAATAGAGGTGCAATTGACAACGATGAAGGATGAGAGTGTGAGTGAATATTTGATGTCCCTTCACATGCTTTGAAGTATAGATAAGGAGATATCTTGTTCAGTGCTACCACAGTTTGATCTCTGAATCATGCAGCAGTTGGAGCTTTCCTGTCCTGAGGGACCTCTGCCAATCTTATATAAAAAATGCTCAGAAATTGAGGAATTTGTAGGCTTTATGGTGAGTAAAACAAAACAGCCAGGCAGAAGAGTGGTAGAGAAGTGTCGTGATGCTCCATAGGGAGTGAGAATATCCTGTTGAAGTCAGACTGAATTTTCTGAAGAGCTATTATAGTCCTTGCCATTTGATGGATGCTTTTTCTTGCCATAAATACTAGCCTGGTTTTCATCTCTATCTTTCTTTGATGATTTTTTAGTGTGATTCAGAAATAAAAAAAGATTGAAAAATAAACTTCAATAATCTCCATCACAAATGAAAAATAATTTTCAGCTGTCTGCATGACATTACTCTTGTATGTTTTCAATGATTTTCCTTTAAAGGGCATGCTGTTCTGAATTGGCATGTCTTTCTTCATTTTGTTGCCTTTTTTTTCCTCCATTCTTTGGCTTCCTTACTCCCATTTCTCCTGTTCTTTCTTAAATCATTCCTTTGTTTCTTTCAGTTAATTTGTTCTGAGTGTTATAATCCATCCCCATTGATGTTTCCTTTGGGTGTCAGTTATAGACTACTATTAAAAAAAAAATTTTTTTATCATCTTTGCTATTACTACTATGTCAAACTATGGTAATGTTAGACTTACAAACTGCTTTTTCAAAAGTGTCTTTGCTTGTGTGTGCACATTAACGTTTAATAAAAGAAAAAATCATGACTATTAGTTGTGCAATTAGCAACTACCACACTTAATTAAACAGTGGTAAAACCTCTGGGCCTTATGTAGTGTTTTTTAGTCAAAGCCCTGAATAAAAGGCACAGGGAAATGAGAGTGGCATAACATACTTCACAGCTCATTTATTTGCCCTCTTAACCACAATAAAGAATCCCAGCCCAGGCTGGCCTCCATTTCATTACCATCCTCAAAAATTTCTAGGTATTTTCAGATGTGCTGATAAGCTGATATGTAAAGTCCTGTAAAAACACCATGGCACAAGTTCCCACCTTTCTAGCAGTGCAGTCATATATGTGCATATGCTGGCAGCTGAACTGGGGTTGGTATAGCAGAATGAGCTTGGCCTCCTGTACAGAACCTGTTTCCACTCCTGTCTGATCTGCTTATGGATCTGCATGTTGGGGTGTACAGTTCCTATTTTCACTATAGAAAGGTGTCTAATTTGCAGCAATAACACAAACTGACCCATGAGAGTGTTGACTGTCTGCTGGTGCTGTCCCACAGTTTGCCTGTCTGTGAGCTCTTCCACCTTTTCCAGGGACCAGATCATTTGCACAGTGAGTGCTGCACTGTGATCCACAGTGTAGCACTCACTGATCCACTCCCAGACTTGTTCGACACTCACTCCTGAAGGATACAGGACAAAGGTAGAGCAGGCTAACTTACACACCCAGATTCAGGTTACCAGGGCCCATGCTGACTGCAGTGAAGACCTGTCTTCTATATAACTAAATGGGAAGCTAAAACACCAGCAGACTCCTACCATAAGAGCTGTAGCAGGGTATTTCAGTCTCAGAGCATCTCCTCTCTATCCTGCCTTCCTCTCTGACATCAATGCATTCTCTCACCTGCTCCTTCCAGTTCCTGAGTCCTCTCTTGCTGTCTCCCTGTAGCTATTTCTAGCCCCTCTGAGCTCCTGCCAGCTGCCACTCTCTGCTCAGCCCACTCAGCACACTGCATGGCCTTCTAGGCAGCAGCCCCCAGGGCTGGCATGGTTTAACATAGCTGCTTTGGGTTGTTGTGCCCTTCAGAGAAATGCTAGGGTACACACCTTTGTCTATCCTGTGTGGGTCACACTCCATGGCTCTTGTGAAAGATTTACATGGCATTTCCTGCCAAGTTTCTTAAACCCAATAAAGATTCAAGGAAAAATGCAACCTGAAACACCTACTAGGTCACTGTTTAATTTCTCTCATTACTTAGCTGCAGTGGGCAAGAGAATTTAAAAGGCAAACAGGATTTTTAGCTCTTCAATGATGTGATTAAAGTTTGCTAATGTCACAGTCATACAGTCAATAATGATTGACAAGGAGGTTTTCATCTCTGAATTTCTACCCAAAAAAATGTGGAGTAAGTGCTGTCTTGGACTCTTGAAGAACTTGGTTATCTAGCTGTTGCTTATTGATTAGTTTTGATGTTGTTCATCCTCCTGGGTGTTGGTGAGAGCAATAAGAATCTGTCAATGAACAAATTTACTCAGACAGTTCAAGTACTGTTCCCTCCCTTGCTCATACTAAGCCAGACATGGCTGTCAGCCCAATCGTTTAGAACGCAGGCTCCAAAAGTCTCCAGTGCTACAGAACATCCCCTGAAAGTCACAATTCCTTCCATGTGCCATGACAAATGATTCCAGCTGTGGTTGTATTGCGTGATGCTTGGAGCATAGAGCCAAGCTCCACTGCCTTCCTGTTTTCTGCTCATTGTGCACCCACGTCAAGGCAAAGGAAGCCACACCTTTGAAGAGGTTTCTCTGACAACCAGAGGGCAGGCAGGTCATGGAGGTGAAGAAGGGAGCAAGGTACCGTTTTGCCACTTCTACATGGACATGTTGACCTCCCTCAAACTGCTAGTGAAGCAAACGTAAATATCTTAACCTTCCACTGGAGGTAATCACTAGAGGAACCTGAGTCATTTTGTTTAACTGCTAATTTTTGTAAAAAGCTTATTTTTATTTTTTTTTTTATTATTTTTTATATTTTTGCATTGGAATAAACCACTCAAGGTGCAAATTATCACAGCTGCACCATTCATGACCACAGCCTCTTCCTCTCTTCAGGGAGCCATAATAATTTTCTAAGAATTAGATGAAACCAAATAATTCTTATACATGAAGAGATACACTGCTTCCTACAAAGTGCTCAAAGATTCTCAGCTGCAATGCATGGAGAAAGAGGCTTCTGGGAAGAATGGGAAAATTTATTTTTTCATGAGTGAACATTATGACCTAAAAATATGATTGTTTTGCCTACAGCACTGAATGGGATTTTAAACAAAGAAGTATACTTATCCTTATTTCTGTTGGTTACTTTTCTGTTTGGGACATGAATGGACAAAGTGGGGATAACTCATAACTCTGTGGACATGTTTTTTTCTGTGCAACATGTAAGTAGTAACAACTGCCCCACAGTGTGGATAGCATTTATCTATTAGGGTTTATAAGGCAGAATTAACTTCACAGGTGTAAAACACGATGAATTATATATGTAGTTCATAACTCTAATATGTTAGAGTTATGTTAGTCTCCTACGCAACTTTTCAGGTTCAAACATTCATCTCTTTCCAGTGTTCTTGTTGATGACTCTTAACAAGACATCTGTAGTATCAAAAAGGATCCATCTAAGGCTTGCTAACATCACCACTTACTACTCGTAGCTGAGTACCAATCATAGACTAGCAACGTGAGCTTCCAGGTGTGAAAGAAGTGGTGACAAGTGAGAACTGCAGGTGTTGACAGAGTGTGCAAGCCAATATGCGATAAGCAGGAACCACTATGAGCTTTGGTTTCAAAGACTAACACACTTTTTGCAAAGGCAGCCCTTGACAGGAGATAGAGGTTGTTTTGCAGCACCCACAGAATAACCTTCTGCTATTGCTCTACAAAGGGTGCACACCACTTCCAGCTTTTGTACAGCAGTTTATCGCAGACACTTCTTTGTGGGCTCACCCCTGCCGTGCCGGTGCTCTTGAACACAGGCAGCTGTGCTGCTCAGAGCATGCAGCTGCTGGGGGCTTTCTGCCTCCTTCTGCAGCAAGCAGCCACTTCTGGCCTTCACCAGCACCATTAGGAGATGGGCCCCATGTTGCAAAGTCTGAATCTGGATCCAAACACAATTTTCTTCAGCATTCACAGGAGATCTTATTCTAGGTTTGGGCTTGCTCCTTTCAGATCAAAGACCCGCTGCAAAACTTTTATTCCAACCAAAACTTCTTCCCAGTTTTGGGGTCTGGGGTTGCAGCTCTGGTTTACCTCCATTTCTAGCTAATTTAGAAAACTCTTTATGTAGAATATTTAAGGCCAGACATTTTTCCTATTGAAGTTAGTAGTCTTGCTTTCTTGACACTGACTAAAAAAGGGCAGTAGGTCATATAGGTAAGATTAATACTAACTAGAATATTATTTTTCCTAGAGGCCTAACCTTTGCTTGCAAATCAGCCACCCTAGGTCTGTAGAATTCTCCATTTTGTGATCTCATTTTATTACATTACATGCATAGACATCTCTATTTAATATTAACTCAAGAAACGTGTCCAAAAGACAATCCTTGCTTAGTTTGTCCAATCATTGCTTCTGGAGGGGTGGGTTGTTTCCTCTAAGAGATTTAGTGCAGAGATAGGAGAACAGATTAGAGTGGACTATCCAGCCATTGCAAGAAAATGACTGTTATATTCCTGCCACTGTATAAAACCCAGGTTGGAGCCAGGTAGGTGAGAGCTGATGGTGCATTGAGTGGCTCAGAGCCCCTGTAGCCCAAAGAAAAGGAGAGCACTGTGAGCAGAGCACAGCACTCCCCAGGGTCACGAGTCTTTAGAACAGTTTTTGCTCTTGCTTTGCTGCAAAGGGTTTTGGCAAACATCTTGCTCTAGGAAAAAGAGTCTTTCTAAAGTGTATATTATTAGTTATCTTTGTTTGCTTGTTTGTAACAAAATTAAAATTGAATGGGTTGTGCTCACTGAGCAGAACAGAAACAGCAGTTGGTTTGAAATGAAATGAGCTTGAGTTGAAAACCCTCATCTTCTGATATGCTGGACAATTTCCTTGTAAAAGTGTGATAAAGTTTATTTGTATAAACAGTTGCTTCTCCAGCAGCGTACAAAGAAACGCTATCAGTAGCAGGGGGTGGCTGTGGTCACAGCCAAGCAGTCTCAGTGACCTTAGATTACTAACCTAGCACTACATTACTCCTGGCTCTTGTCAGCCTCTGAAACACACCAGTGGGTTCTGTTCACCCTCTGTGTGAAACTCCATTGTGTTGGATGAAGGAAATCTTCGTCTATCTGAATTTCATTTCAGCTGATAATGACAGCTGTTTTTAAAGTGCTTAGAAAACCAGCAAGAGCAAAAAGGCTCTATCAGACGTTAGAGGTCAGAACAGAGCCCTGGGAAAATCTACAGCTGCAGCAGCACCTGTCATGTCAAGCTATTTATTCACATAGGTTAGGCTGTGTAAGGAAGGATAGAGGAATAAATTCCTGTGGTTACTTGTGGTCCCATCTCAGTCCTGTTGCTGCTCTTACCACATGAGTATAGGCAATAGATTTAAGATTTTCCATAAAGTAATTTCAGGCAAAATAATCCACAATGGAATTATTTAAAATAGCTGTTGAAGGGACTGCCAAGGGAAATGAGAGAAAAAGTGCCACCCCTTTTTAACTGGGTGGAAAGAAGTTCTTGGACAGTGATGTGGTAAGAACTCACATGTAGCATAGTATCTTGGCATTGTACAGTATTTTGTGCGATTGCTGTGAGAGCAAACCTACCAACAGTGGTTTTGCAGAGAGATTAAAGCAAGCAAAGCAATTTTTACTGGGGAGATTTATAAAACAATGCCTCAAAGTGACAAGAAGCAGCTCTTCAAAGCCTACCAGTTTACACATGGGTTGGCATAGTTAGCAAGCCTGTTTTGCAACAGTGCCACCCGGCCTTCCTTTGGAGGAGGAGAGTGCAGCACACAGAGCCCCTGTTCAGGTGGAGCATAGCACAAATGCCTTGTTTAAAGCTGACTGATATTTGTACTGGGGTTAATGTTCGAGTTCAAACAGTTTTGCAAAATAGTTAGCACAGGTTACGGGGTCTAGCTCTGAGCTGTGGCCAAGAATAAAATATAGGCAGTCAAATGCAAAGGTGTCCAACCTTCTTCCTTGAACAAACCATGGCATTCTCAGAATGATTTGTAATCAGAACCAATTAGATTAAATCAGTGAGAGAGATATCTTTGGATTTATTTACCTTTGTTTATGTCAAACAACACTGGAAAATCAGGATTCAGTGTGAATCATCTGGAAAGGATAAAGGCATTAATATTCCTTTTGCTCACCTAACAAGGTCCTGTTTTTAATATTAAAGCAAAATTCTAAACCTTTCCCTAGGGGCTACAATTATTTTACTGCTATTTACTCTGAGTGCTTTTCTAATTTCTAATGTAACTGTTCCTAAACTACTGAAGTCTTACTGGGTAGTAAGAACTCTTCTCATGCTGGAAGCTTAAAAAATTCCTATTGCTCAGCTGATCAAGAATGTTGTTTTTCTTCAGTGTGAGCTATAGCCATTAGATCCATGTATTCATTTTTTGTGACACCCCTGAGAAATGGCTCCTCTGTGTTACTTCTCCACAAAGGAAGGAAAAGAGGGAAGCAGCAAATATAGCAGCTTTCCCTGATCTGAGGAAGTTGCACAAGAAACATTTTTTATGATATCCCTAAGAGGATCTGTTGGGTAAACCAGCTTAGTTCCATATTCCCCAGGAGCTCTTCTTATTCATGACATTAGAAAGAACTAAGGTTTGGTGAAATCTCCTCAGAAAATCAAAAGAAGTACATGTTTTCTAAGCTTTGAAAGGGAATGCCATTTCATTCCCTAAGCCCATTCTGTAAAAAATATCTAAAAAATATTTAGAATTTTCACAAGTGTTTGTCTTGATGGTTTTACTGCCACTCCTCTTTCCCCTGTGCACTGCAGTTTGTCACTAAAATGATCAAATGAGGGAATAATTAGAAAAACACTAAATTTTAATTTCAGACTACTCTGAATAATAACAACAACAACAATAATAATAATTTTAACAACAATAAAATATAATCTTCAAAATAATGCAAATTTATCATTAAAGGAATTATGCAATCTATTTTTTTATTACCTTTTTGGGTCTTAGGAGCACTGGCAATAATTATGGGGACTGCCTCAGGTCCCTAAAGAAGGGTGGTGGTGGTAGAGAGTCTTCTGTGCTAAGTAAAATGCAACACTAAAATGAATTATTTGAATTAAACCAGTTCTGTTTCTCCATAGACACTGTTAGACAGCTTTACTCCTGGTTTATGTTGCCAGAGATTAATTCAGTTGGGATGAATAAGACTGAGATGTCTCCATAAATTATGCATATCTAGAGAAAATACTGGGAAAAAAAAATCATATGTAGTAAATGACCAGAAGCTTACGGGAAATGCTTGTGAATTGACATACATTCTTTTGAAAATTGGAAGGATGACTGATCATTGGGAAAAAACCCCTGGCCCAGATGGTGGTAGATTCTGCATCCCTTGATGTCTTCAGATTGAGGAAATGTGTTGCAACTAAAGACAAGCTGCTGGACTAATTCAGAATGAAAAAAACCAAAACCATGGGTCAGACTAAGTTAACTAATAATATTTTCTGACCATAAATTACAGGAATCTCCAAAAAAGTATAAAAATCGTAGGAAAAGTGTGGGCAGAAGCAGCTTTCTCAGTCTAGATCCAGCTGCTTCTTCTCACTGGCTATGGGCTCAGGGCAGAACACTTCTCTAATCCATGGCGACTAGGAAAGTGAGATCCTTTAGCTTTTTTGTTTTGAAATAATCTTTCTCTCTGAACTTCTTTGCCATTTCTACCAGGCTCTTTCTACATGGGTAACTCTGAATTTCTTGTAGATGTTCCTCCATGTATGGCAGAAAGGAAGAACCATGGTTTCAGTTTCATGGGATCTACCTGGGGCAAACATCCTTGCCTTCAGTGACAGGAATGTGGAAATTTATGCTCAAGTATTTGTATGAATTTTATTAATTGCACATCAAATGCCTGGTCTATACACTCTGGGGTGCCCATTTTTCCCAGCAATAGTCATTATGAATGGGAGAATGGCTCTTCCCATGAGTGGCCCCCACCAATAACATCTGTGTTGGATGTTTCTGCCCACCTGCTTACCCAGTTTTGCTACAAGAATGGCAGTTTCAAATTATTATTTTTCCTTTTTTTTTTTTTTTCAGTTATATACAGGAGATAGAGTAAATAATTTATTTCATTATAGAGTCACAGAACATCCTGGGCTGGAAGAGACTTTGAAAGATCATCTAGCCCAGCTAGCTGAATGCACAGAGCTAGAAGGCAGGCTCTGTTCCCAAAACATTGACAACCATACATAAATATGTATTGGGGAAGAACTTGATAGACACACAACTGCTCTCTAGCCATAAGAACAACCAAAACAACCTGTAACTGGTGCAAATGAGCTTTTAGTCTTCTTCTCCATTGAAATGTGTGTTAGCCACATATTTACAGCTGGCTTTCTGTCATGAATTCCAGTCAGGTCTGCTGCTCTGTTTAATTCCAAGCAGCAGCCCGTTTCCCAGCTGATGCTTCACAATTTAGGATCAAGCTCGTCTCTGAGACCTGAGACTGGTCCATAGAGCTAGGTAAAACATATGGCTATTGTCCTCTTAGCTCTGTAAGATATTCTAAAATGAAAAAGGGTGTAGGCAAGCCAGTTTGCCCATGAATTCTCCTTGTGACAGGTATACTGACTCAAGGGTGACTTATACTTTGAAGATCAAAAGCAGTTTTCCTATGCAATTTACTTACTCTTGCAAGCCTTTTGGCCTCAGTGCAGTAACAGTCTGTGTATCCTCACTTTCACCTAAGCTCTCTGTGTCAACCTTTACTATCCAGCTTTTCTAAAGAAAAACATGCATTTTGATAGAGTAATCCTTTCAGTTTAATTTACTTTTATTCACATTCTTTACTATCATATGAAAATCACCCTTTTTACAGTGGTTTAACCTGTATCCCCTTGTATTTAGTCACTTGTCAAAATAAACCTAAATGTTAAACTGCTTCAGTGTTTTAAAAGCAGTTTCTAAATACAACCTCCTTCCACCCTCCTGTGTTTTCATTCTGAATGAAGCTGTTGATTTACCTAACTAATTCCAACATTTTTGTTATTGCATAAGAAATACACTGTCTTAACAACCTCAAACTGAGTATGAAGCAGCAGAGAATTTCTCAGTATTTAAGCAGAAACAAATTCTGTTCCATGCGAATAAATCATATGAACTGACTTTTGCACTCAGAAGGTCTCACTCATGGAGCTCTAGAATTCAAACTGTTTCAACCCCAGAGTATTTGAAAAATTTTATAGCCTCCCTTGAAATAAATGTAACTGAAGCTGGAAAGAGCCTGAAGGTAAAAAAAAAAAAAAAAAAAAAAAAGTTAAGGATTTAAAGCCTTAAATCCTAAACAGAACAAGGCACTATCTGAATTTCTTCCACAGAACATCAAAAGCAAAAGTAAAGTCCTTGGCTGCCTGTGCATATGGCCTGTGGGATCAAGATTTACTAAGTTATGGGGTGCTTTTGGGAGGATGGTTTTGTTTTGTTTTGTTTTTTGGGGTAAAAGGAAGAGGGGATTATGGAATAAAAACAGCTGTTGAATTGTGTCATATGTGGTAATAAGCTCCTTTCCTCTCTGACCCAATCACATAGGGAAGACACCAATATTTCATCAAGATGATCAGAATCCAGAAGAGCATTCCACAGCAGCATTGCCTTGGCAAGCAGTACAGGCATCACAAAGCAAAACAAGATTGATTTTGCAAACAGTTCTCCCACATTTTTTCCTGAACCCTGTGATCTAAAGCACATCAGAAGTACCCAGTTTACTCTGACATTTCTTCAATTCCTTTGAAAATGATGGCCAAGGCTGTAAACAGGTACTGAGAGAGAGTGAAAGCCTGCTGAGGGACTTGAGTTCAGACATTCAGAGCTAAAAGCACCTTACACTATGGAAAAAGTCAGCAGTTACTTTCTGAACCTTATTCACAGGTTTTGGATTCCACTTCTGTTACAAGAGTTCAGGATGGAGGTGACAACTGCATGAATCACTGGGACGACATGTCCATCTACAAGGAAATGACAGAGTTTCCTAGTGAGCTGAAACTGAGAGAAAGTTTTTCTGGGAATTGCCGCAAATATGATCATCCATAACGAGGAGCCAGCCATAACTTTGATGAATAAAGGCTATATATCCTTGAGGAAATGTGGTGACAGTGTTTTGGCCAGCTCTTCAAAGTGTTTCTCCTTTCAGCCAGAAACACTCCAGTCTTGCCTGGGTTCAGCCTGAGCTGACTGTGCTTCATCTACACACTTCCCTGTAACATTTTGACACGGTACAAGTGGTGCTGGTTGTGTTGTTCTACAGGGGGGGTACAGGAGGACAAAGAAGACAAGTTTGGGTGGACATGGAAAATGTGAGATAGCTTATATTAAGGCAGAATTCCCTTCTAGGTATTTCAGTAACACCTTAGCAACATCAACAGCCTCACCACGCACTCTGAGCACTCAGGAAAAGGTGCCAGCTTGTGTCTCCTGGTAGGAGCTCACTTGTCCAGACTGAACTGAGTTGGGCTAACAGGGATCAGCTGTCAGAGCCTCCTACTGGAGCCCTTCTGGATAAGGCCTTGTGACACAAGATACACATCAGAAGGCTCCTTCCCTTCAGCACAGCTGTGCCTACCCTATGTTGTCAGTAGGTTATAAACAGGCTGTGCTGGCCAAGAGAGATTCCCCCCAAATACTTCTGTCCCCTTATAAACATGCATGCAAATCACTGCATGCAAGTACAAACTTGTCATACAGAAAGTCTGATCATCTCAAATAAATGCCCAGATTTTCAAAGCCCCAGCACTCATACAGGAACCAGAAGGAAATTTTCCAAACTGAATAAACCAAAACCCACTCTGCTGCCAATAAGAGCAATGGGAACCTTGGTCAGTCTGTGACTGAGATGGCTCAAAGGAACTGAGTGCTCCAAGAACAGGAGCTCTGCACGGGGCTGCTAAGTCCTTCAGAATGCATCCTTCATTGCTGCAGCCTCATACCTTGGTACAGAAAAATCACCAATAGATGCCTTTAGCTATTTTTAGATTGTATTAATGAAACCAGAGGTCAGTACTCCTCTGCATTATACTATTGCTGAGAAAATGAAATACAGGTGAAATATAAATGCTGTTATGTGAAATACATATAACAACATTCAAGAGTGCTAAATAAATTGATCTTTCATTTTAGCTGAAAGATTGTAAATTGAAAATAATATCCTTTTTGCAGGAGGAAAAATGCTCTAAAATAAAATTGTTCAAGAAAATCTGTGCAAACTCAAACTATTCCCAAAGACAGAAAGCAAATCATGAAAAAATTTGCTCTAAAAATCACTATGCTGATTGCACTTGACTACTATGTAATTTTCTCTTCCTGCAATTCTTCCATGTCTTCAAACTTGCAGTCTCAGGATAATAATTTTCACAGTGCATGCAAGCAGTATGGTCTGTTAGACTCAGGTAAATGCTGAAAAAAGCAAGCTGTCCATTCAGTTGTCTGGTGGGCTGAAAGTTAGTCAATGGCTGATGTGAACTTAGAGTTTTGGAGGTTTCCTTTCAGTCTTTTTTTCACAGCATAGCCTTGAATTGCTGGATTCAAATGGATGTCTACAGTTTATTAATTCTTAAAGCACAATTTAATACTTAAAGCTGAGACATCCAGCTCTCAAGACAAATACCTATACTCTTTTCTTTTTTTTTTTAATATGGATAGATTTTCTTTCCAATACCAGATAATATAAGTTGGAAACCAGAACTATACTGTATCAGTATTTTTTTACTTGTTATATAATACATATGCAGGCAAGAAAGAGAAAGAGGTGGGGAGGACTGGACACATGATGTAGACTTTTAAACATCTGTTACATTTCCAGAATTCCATTCCTGGTAAGACTTAGAAATGTCAGAGCTGCTGACCTTTGGTTGTATGATTATTTCTCCAGCTGTGTGGAAATGCTGCAAAACCATTTTGTGACCTGTCAGAGCAAATATTTTGACTCAACAATCAATAACATAGAAGTTCCTACTAAGTGGTGTTACCTAACTTGGTGTTAGAGTGGATAAAAAAATATTGTTGGTTCTTAATCATTGTATTTAGAGCTGAGGTGTTTAGAGTGTATTTTCCCAGCAAAGTTGCATTCCTTACTCTTTTAAGAGTTTACAACTTGGTTCTTTGTATCTCCTCTACACACTTAAGCCCAAGTTAAGGAAAGGGTTAAAAGGCAGTAAAGGGGGAGACTTTATCTGTCACTGGAGACTGATTTCTGGCTCTGAACTATGTGCAGGGATAAACCCCCTGCAAATCAGAAAGAATTTTTTTGAGCAATAGACTATAGAAGTGGCTACCCAAGTACCCGAGAAAATGAAAATGGATGAGAGGGAAAAGTTATCTAAGAGAGCTGTGAGGCTGGAAAAGTCTGGGAAAGCACTACAGGGAAGTTATTCCAATTGCTTTATAAATACTTCCCCTGATGGTTCTGGGTACTTTTGCAAAATGTCTCAGTTATCAAACCCTGCAGAGACACCATTCTGCCATTTCTCAGGCAGGGCTGACTGACTGCTGGCCACCTGACAAACTGGGGAGATCTCCACAACAGTAAGTGCTCTCTCAGCTGCCAAGTAAAGCCAGTGATCTGCAGGAGGGTGAAGGATAGAGGGAGGCTCACCAACCTCACAGTAAAGAATTTCTTCCTAATATCTAAGCTATGCCTACTGTCTTCCAGTTTGAAGCCATTCCTCCTAGTCCTATCACTACATGCCCTTGTAGATTCTCTCTCTCCAGCCTTTCTTGTAAGCTCCCTTCAGGTACTAAAACACCTCAGTTAGGTCCCCCTGAAACTTTCTCTTTTCCAGGCTGAATAAACCCAGTTCTCTCAGCCTCTCCTCCCAGGAGAGGTGCTCCATCCCTCTGATCATCTTGGTGGCCTCCTCTGGACTTGCTCCAATTGTTCCATGTCCTTCCTGTACTGGGACCCCAGAGCTGGGTGCAGGGTTCCAGGTGGGGTCTCACCAGAGCAGAGCAGAGCAGAGCAGAGCAGAGCAGAGCAGAGCAGAGCAGAGCAGAGCAGAGGGGCAGAATCCCCTCCCTGGCCCTGCTGCCCACACTGCTCTGGATGCAGCCCAGGACATGTTTGGTTTTCCAAGCTGTCAGTGCCCATGGCTGGGTCATGTCCAGCCTCTCACCCACCTGCACCCCCAGGGCTGCTCTCCATCTGTTCATTCCCAGCCTGTGGTGCTGGGTGCTGTCCACAGCCAAGTGTTTTCTACCATCTTGTGATACTGCCCCGTGAGATCAGACTGTGACCTCTGATTGTTACTTCAGTCAGTCTTCAGGGGAGATCAAGAGGGAATCCTGTCACACACGCAAGTACAAGGACAATGTTACACACCTGGCAAAGAGTACATACCTGGTTAACAACACTTAATACCAGACACTGTTTATTATCTTAACTTACATCAAGTTGTTGGCTGTGTCTGAAAGCAGGACAGTAAGCTAAAATGGACAGGTTTGTGGTTTTCTGGTTGGTGGGTGGTTTTTTTTGGTTTTTTTTTTTTTTTTGAGAGGAAAGTAGGCAAAACTACTGCTGGTAACAACTGCCCACAGATTTCCCAGGCTGTAATTACAAAGATATTGAGGAGGAGATTCAAAATTTGGCAAAACAACTGATTTTCAAATAGATGCTCTCCCACCTCACTGAAGAATGTCTTTAAGAAAAATCATTCAACCCTTTCAGCAAACTGGTGTTTTCTGGCTTATTTTTTTTTTTTTCCCATAAAAAAGGATTCCCAAAGGTCAGTTCTTTAGACTCCTTCCAGTAATACTTGCACATGTAAGAAAATTCCAGGATGACAGATTCTAGACTGACCAGACACATTTTATGGTTACATTGGATTAATTTCTTAGAAAAACATTGCATTTTCTGTAATTTGTTTCATAATCTGACACTTAAGGTCAAATATTTAGCCAAATTCGTGGAAGAATTACGTTGAGTTAAGTGGGGTTTTGAAAGATATTAGTGGGTGAAAAATGAAGCTATTGCCACCATTTTCAAAGCCCTATTTGCCTGAAGTACTGCTGAGCTTCACAGCTACTCCTCAGGCTCTGTGTGGAGCAATGTTTTGGGAAAATAAGGGGGTATCAGATTTTAAGCCCATGTTGCACTTGTTCAGTCTTTCAGTTTTACACCCAAAACTCCTGACTGAGCTGCATTTTCACAGGAACTCACATGGGAAACATAAAAAGAAGGGTTATCAGAGACTAGCAATGGAAAATCACAATCTGAGGAATAAGGATTTAGTGCTACAAGTGGGACAAAACCCTGAATGCATTTCCTTCTGTCAAGCCTCCTATGATAACATATAGTGAGATAAATCAGGATGTAGATTCAAGTGTGGGTGATAGTTTGCCTGTCTTTCTTCAATATTCTGCTGGTAAATGTGGTTTATCAAGGGATAAACCTTGATGTGACTGAGTGACTTTACTCTTTTTTCTATAACTCTTTAAGTATTGGAAGTTGATACTGTGCAAAAAAGTTTCAAGGGGAACAACAGCTGGAGCTTCCCAGGAAATAGATATGCCAGAAAGGAGACATTTGACAAGCTGTCTCATGCCTACAGACTTTGTATTTGTCACAGAGAACAAGTTGCTATGCCAGAGAAGAGCAAGAGGGTTTAAGAGGGAACAATTCAGTTACCTAAACATAGTTGTGATGGTCTCAAATGACACGGGCCCTATGAAAGATTTCAAGACAGACAGCTGAAAGCCTTAGGGAATACCCTAGGCATTGGAAGGTCTCTGGACACATATGTTTATATGAATCCCACCCTGACAATCAAATGAAGTAGCAACATCTGAGGTGGAAGATGAGAAGACAGTCAGAGTATACCCACAACATTCTCTTCTAGAAAACCTGTGGGATTAAACAGCTCATTATAGGAAAGACAAGATAAGAGGGGAGAAGATGAAAAGGGAAAAAAGAAAAGAAGAACTTTGTTCAGAATAACTTTGTTCTAACAAGGGGCAAAAACAGGCACTAGAGATACATGTCCTGGAAAGGGGACATGAAGGGTGAGAAGCAAAGAGCGAGGTAGGTCTAATTTGGAAGAAATGTACAATCCACCAAGTCCAAAATACATTAAGTAATTCACACTGCTTC